GAGGACTGATACAAGAGTCGAACTGGAATTTTCAAAGAAACTTTTTAAAACCCACAGTTGAAAAGCAAACAAACAATCTTGAACACACAAATGAGCAAGTATCTAAGAGCCCATGGATAACCATGGATAGAAAGGGTGCTAACACCTTCCCTTTCTATAATCTACCTCCCGAACCGAGAGCAATCTCTTTAAGGAATTTTTCTGTGCTTTTGTCCTTTCCATTTGGAGAAAATAAAAGACGGTGGCGACTCTTGCTTCCGCGACATTTCGCGAACCAGCGTTAAACAGTCAGTTCCAGATCCACCGATCACACCATGGTAACTTTCTATCTTAGAATCACTTAGATATGAGGCCGTTCTCTCCTCATCAATCACAGACAATGATTGGATAAAACACAAGAAGACACACTTCCATGACAATAAATTAGGAGACACATTTACATGACAGTACCTAGCCAAGACTCTTAACTAAGAACAATACTTAGAGTTTCTTAAAAGCTTCCTCCAAGAACAATACTCAACTCATTACCTAAAGGCTTCTGAGTGAGAACACATACCAACTCTCCTAGAGAGTGGCACAAAGATAAAGCCCTAATGATCTACATCTTGGACACGTGACTTTTCTAGGTTACAAACACTTATATTTATAACCTTTTCCCATATGGATTTGGGCTTCAAATCACAAAATATCAGCTGCTACAAATCAGCATAAACTTCTGCTACAAAATAGGTCTTCAAGAAAATCTTTCCTAATTTATCTCCATAATTAGAAATTCAATTTTCTTTAATATTCTTATTGATTCTGACTCGAATCTTTTAGACCTATAAAACAACCCCACATAGGATAGCATAATATTCCCAAAATATTTTGCATCACTTAAATCTTAAATTGATCCAACTGTCCAGCCCAGCATATGAGCGATGTCGAATGATCCTGCATAGGACATCTGACCCGACATGTTGCTCCAGATGCTGAGAACTTATCATCTCAACATGTTTCAACTAAAAATAGGACTTCTTGCTCAACTCGTTCTTCTTAGCAAAATAATACACCCTATTTAATATATTATTGATATATTTGTTTTACTAAAACTAATGTCAATCTTAAAAATAGAGAACTAGCAAATACAATGAATTCTAGAAGTGTCACGATGATGATCAAGTTATCAAAATCCCATCAAATTGGTATTAGGTATCCGATGGATTTTTGTCTAAAAATTAGTAAGGTTTATGGTGAAAATGTTGAGAATTTTAAGAGTTGTGTGACAATACAAGGTAGAAATAGAGTCAGTATTTTGATATCTTATAGGAGCAATTTTTTTGATGAATAGAAAAAGGAAAATATGGAACGATATTAGGGTATTTATTTTAAATTTCATGATTTTTTTACAAGTATATATGATTATTTATTATTTATTATTAATACATACTTTATTATGTAAATGTAGAAAGTGATTATTGTTCCATAACGATGATAAAGTGGCAAAGAAATGGATTAAATACATTGGTGATCGTTGGAGGAACTTTAAGACATAACTCACAAGTGATTATATTACACATTCAAATCCTAATTTAAAACCTCCATATAAAATATATAAATTTATCGAGAATGACATTTGAGAGATGTTTGTCAAGTCTCACAACACTCCTAAGTTCTTGGCTAAGAGCCAAAGAAAAAAAGGAGAATTAATTTTATAGAGGAGTTAAAATAAAAAAATTATATTTAAACATATGATAAAAACATCATAATTATTATTAGATGCAATGTTAATTGATCCTTACGGGCTCTGACAGAGTCAGATATTATTAGTTGTTGCTTGAAAGATCTTTGTTGGATCCTCAACTTTAAATAGTTTTTTAGTAATAGATATTTTTTAAAGATGAATTGAATAATAAATATATTTAATTTATATATATATATATATATATATATATATATATATATATATATATATATATATATATATATATATATATATATATATATATATATATATATATATATATATATATATATATATATATATATATATATATATATATATATATATATATATATATATATATATATATATATATATATATATAATTTAATAAATTCAAAAGCTAAATTTTTATAATAATTTTTTAAGATAAAATAATATGTATTGATAATAGAGTAAAACTCTCAAAGCAAATACAAATGAGCAATCTATTAACATAAGGTGTATCAAAAACTACGACAAAAAATCAAACACATACAAATAGAAGAATAAAAAAACTACAAGGCCAAAAATAAACAACTCACCAGAAGTCAACTCCTGGAAAAAAAAAAGCTCTTTAAGAATTGCACTCTTATAAAGGATCAAGTTAGGTCTCAAGTCATTGGGACACCAACGCCAGATCAAAGATCACTAAGACTTTGTTTGGATTGATGGAGCGGAGCGGAATTGAGTGGTATGGATTACATTTCATTCTGATTTGGGAAGAATGAACAACTTGTCTTGTTCCTTCTTAAAATTTCCAAACAATAGAATAATATCCTCGTTCTGCTATGTTCATTTTATGATATTCAAACATAGCCTAAGAGAAGAAGGAAAAATAACACATCCTCTCAATTTGGTCAAAATCTTGATCCGTTATTGATCGATATAAAGAATAGGTTTTTGAAATCATTTTGTGAAGGTACAAAAGTTCTTCTCTAATCTACCTAAAAATCATTTCCAAGCAAAAAAAACATACTTCTCCATCCCATATATTTCACGTTTGTTGAATAATAAAAAAAAGGAAGTTCTCATAACTGTCATGCTAAATAGTCCAAACTACACGATATTAGATTTGAGAGAAACCCACATAAACCTCACCCTTCCACCTAAAAAAATAAAACTCTCAAAGAGTATACTATGGTCCCTTGAAAGAACTATTTGCCATCCCCACCATTTGAGAGTCTCATATAAAAAGTTGTTAAATAAATCACAAATGACAAACAAGTGAGAATCTGACTCGGAGAAAAACACTGCAAAAATGACATATGATAAGACTATGATCCACAGTCACCTTTTTCTTAAATGAATTCTCCTTAGAGGAAAACTTATCTTAAAGAAGCTGTCAAGAGAAAATAATCATATTAGAAGGTGTCAAACTACCCCAAATATGAACGAGAAATAGATTATAAGAGGAGGCTAGGTGGCTTGAAAAATTAGAAGAAGTCAAAAGAGAATGATAAGTATTGGAAATATTTTAAGCCTCACATTGGTTAGACATAGAATCTCTAAAGAGTTTATATAGTGTAACACCCCTCACCTTACATGTCGATTTTATAAGTATGAGCTAAATCGAACTTTAATATGGTATTCGAGTCTATCAATCGAACTATATGGATTTCTCATTGATTATATCCATGCACCAAGCCCAGTTTTTTAGATTACGTTTATGTGTCTTTGGGAGTCCGAGAGAGTCGAGGGAACCAATGAAACTAATGTTATAGAACCGCAAGAGAAGGAAATGCCACATCTCCACATCTCAACCCAAAATCTTACAAGTGTGAGTTTGCTCCCTCCACAAATCTCAACCACAATTTTGATACCACTGTTGGAGAGTTTGAGAGTGCCAGGAGTACCAATATGATTAATGCTCAAGAACCTCAAGAGAGGGAGACGCCACATCTCAATCCAAAATCTTAAGGTGTTAGGTAAATGAATAATCTCTCTTAGAAATTCAATATTCCACTCATTCATAGACAATGTGGAACTTTAACTATTCACACTTGCACTCAACAATGTGTAATTTTCTTTTCATAAATTCACGTATTCGAAATATCGTCGATCATTCGATCAAAATCAAATAATTCAAAATTAAGTTTATTATTATAAACTAAAAAAGCAAAAAGCAAAATATATTTAACTTTACTATTAAAAAATTCTAAATTTTTTAAAATTTTAGAATGCATTTTACTTTAAAAAACTTGTAACATAATTAATATTTATGGATATACCATGAAGAAAAATGACAATCCTCATGCCACTCATCTTTGAAATAATATCTTTTTATTTAAAGATGAAAGGGATATTCATGAACACGAGTACTAATCTTCCGTTATATGTCCTGTTTAATAAATATGATATCCATACCTATTACATATCTGTATAGGTATTCGTTAGACGGGTATCCGTGGATTTTAAGATACCCGCAAATATATACCGATATTCATAATCTTATAATTTAAATATTTAAAAATATATATATAATAAATTAGATTTCTTATCCTTTTAAAAATTAAAAAATAGTTTAAAATTTAACACATCCATTTTATTGTCCCTTGTCCCGTTTAAAAATAAAAAAATAGTTTAAAATTTAAACATCCATGTTCTGTTTAATAATAATAATAAATAAATCACATTCATTTTATTTCTTCTTTTTCTAAATAAATATTATATTTAACAAAATAATAATAATTTTATATTTAATAACATAATAATAATAATAATAATAATAATAATAATAATAATAATAATAATAATAATAATAATAATAATAATAATAATAATCTTAAATTTCATAATTAATATTTAAATAATTTGCTAATTATTAATGGATATGGATGTTCACGAATATAGATACTATTAAATTTATATTCATATTCATAAATAAATAGATAATTAAATATCCATTTATTTTATCTATAGATATCTATTAAATCATCTTATCCGTATCTGTGATTGTGATAGATTTTATTCAAACATATCTATAATAGGAGTTTTTTTATTATCCATACATTTATTCTTCCTACCAAAAAAATAATAAAACAAATCCATCTCAAGACACTCGTATCAATAATTTTATCTCTTATCAATACTCCATTATTATATATAAACGACAATACGGGAAAAAAAACCAAACCCACCTCAATTATACTAATTCTTCACAAGCATAAAGTGTTGAGAGATTTGATATTTGAACCCACAAAAATATCAATCCCCACCCACTTAGTACTATACAAGTCTCAAGAAAATCAAACTAAAAATGGACACTCCCAAAAAGCCTCATGCTGTATTTGTACCATTTCCAGCACAGGGTCACGTAAATCCCTTTATGCAATTAGCCAAACTCTTCCGTTGCAACGGTTTCCACATAACCTTTGTCAACACTGAGTTCAACCACAAACGTCTGATAAAGTCTCTTGGTGCAGATTTCGTGAAAGGTCTCCCAGATTTTCAATTTGAAACCATACCTGATGGTTTACCAGAATCAGATAAGGATGCAACACAGGATGTTCCAACGTTGTGCGACTCAACTAGGAAAAACTGTTTTGGTCCATTCAAAGAACTTGTGATTAAGCTCAACACTTCATCACCTTATCCAGTTACTTGCATAATTGCTGATGGCATTATGGGCTTTGCTGGAAGTGTGGCAAAAGATTTGGGCATTCCGGAGTCACAGTTTTGGACAGCTTCTGCTTGTGGTTTTGTCGGATATTTGCAATATGATGAGCTTGTCGATAGAGGAATTCTTCCATTCAAAGGTAAAACTTTGAGTCAAGTAAAAAAAACAAAAAAAACTTCTTTCTACTTTAAATTTGAGTTCTTAAGTACTAATCAAATTTCAAACTTTAGTACTCGCAATCGTGTGAACTTTCTGGGACTTTTTACTACTTGTTTACATTAAAAAAAAAAGTTAATTAACCATTTTATTTCAAACATTTAATTAGAAAAAGAATAAAATATAACATTAAACATTGCATGTTTAAAAATATTTTAATTCATAAATTATATATTGTTTTAAATAATAATAATTTTAGAAGTGTAAAATTGATTTAGAACTAATTTTATTGTATATGGTTCTTTAAAAATAAAATTGATTATACTTTAAAAATTAATTTTATTTAAAATTAAAATTTATAATTTTTGAGTTTCAATATGATATATGTACTTAATTTATTGTTCAACTCACTTTTAAATTAATATATTCAAATTTAAATCTTTTTACTTTTAATTCACTTTAAAAACAAAATCAATTCATTTAAAATCCATTTTTTTTATCTCTCAAAATCAAACTTACCTTAAATATATGTTTAAGTTCATGTTTGAGGCATCTAAAATTGATTTTGAATATGTAAAATTGATTTTAATATGTTTAATTGATCTTGAATAAAATTGATTATACTTTTTAACATTTATTCTAGTTAGATTTATAATTTGTAAGTAAAATCAATTATGCTTTTCAAAATTTATTCTAATTATTGAAATTAAGATTTATAATTTTTAAGTAAAACTGATTATGCTTTTTATAAACCACCTTAATTTTAATTCACTTTTAGCCGAAAACAATTTATCATATCAATTTATTTAAAATCAATTTTTTTTTAATACATAATCAAACACACACTAAAAAATCAATTTCACATCAACTAATAAAGGTAAAAGAATATTTTACAATTTTTGAAAAATAGATTTAGTATTTTCAAAAAAATTAAAAATACCATAATAGTGTTTTCATTATTTTTGAAATACATTATTTCTAATTTATTTTCTACTTTTTCTTCGTTACAAATCTCTACTTCATAAATTTTAGTTTTTTATACATGCAAGTTATGTCCCCTCAAAATTATAAGAAATTGCATAAATATATTATTAACATTTGGACCAACAACGAATCTCTTTATAGTTTAAGTTTAAATTCCTCACTCGTTCAAATTTTCTATCTTCTTTTTATTGGCAATATAAAATAAATATTTTAAAAAAATGTTGAAAATATTTCATAAAATAAAATTTTATGTTAAGACAACAACAAAAGGTTAATGAACTTCTTTTTTTTATGGAAACGAAGTAGTAATTAATAAACTTTTTTTTATTTGAACGAGTTTTGGTTTTACTATTTTACAATTTTTTTTTTTTATTTCACTCTTATAATGCAGTTTTACATTTTACTATACATGATTAAATGATGAGGCAGGTGATAAGAGCAGAATTTGCTCAAATGAAAGGACAGATTTATACCTACATAGAAAAAAAATTAAAGAGCAAAAATACTTTGAACCCTTATTTGTTTATTTATTAAAAAAAATTTCACACCTTCCTAATGCACTTCTTAATATCTTTGACAAAATACTTTGATCTCTCTCAGCAACAGACCAAACATCCTTTCTAGCCTGTGGTGTTTTTGTAAATTTTCTCTCAATCCCATCTCCTTTTCGTAGGTGACCAAGCCATTTCCTTTACCATTATGATTAATAATAAAGTTTTTGGCCTTGCAACAATCTATGCTTCAACCAACTACATCAAAAGAAGATACATGTGGGCAGACTTAACCAGCATTTTGGGAAAAAAATCTAGAGTCAATTGGCTTCTTGATTGTGAAATAAACACCAAGTTTTTTTCATAAGAAGAATAAAATTAAGCAAGCTGCAAACTATATTTTTGCTCTCAGCATTAAAGGTTCTCTCATTCCTGATCAATAGTTGTTTAGTGAGCATATGGTTGACTATTTCAATTACTTATTCACTTATCCTCATTCTACTGAACTTGGTCACAAGTTAGTAATCTTCTGCATCCCTCACCTTATCAATGGTGATACCAACATCATGCTAACTAGAACTCCTCACAATTTGGAAATAAAAAATGTTGTCTTCAACCTTAACAAGGAAGGGGCTCCTGAGCCTGATGGTTCCAGTGCCTCCAACAAAATATATTTTCTTTCTCTTCATCAACAAAATTTTTAATGCATATTACAACAAACGTGAAAAAGAAATTGCTTACATATTATGGTGAGCGTTGGAGGGGAAATAAGACACAACTCACTCATGATTATATTAAACATTCAGAAGATAAATAACAACCTCCATACGAGGTGTATTCATTTATTGATCAAGATTTTTGGGAGAAATTTGTAGAGTCTCGCACCACTACTAACTTCTTGGTAAAGAGTCAAAAAGGAAAGGAAATTGAGCTAGAAATATCTATCCACATAGATTGTCTCGTGGAGGATATCAAAAACTTGAAAAGAAGATGATTGAAGAAAACTGGAAACAAATGGGAGGAAGATCTAGGAGATTTTATAAGTCTTGATCGCACTCCATCTCCATCATCACGCCACAATAAATGGAAGAGGGTACGTTAAAGAAAAACCAAAATCAGCCTCTTAACTTCACAAGATCGTCATGACATCTTGGTAGAAGCAATTATAACCAAGGAGCATCATGAGAGTGTCTGTGGTCTTGAAAGAGGTGTTGACTTCAAGGTATTTTTTGGCCAATCTAAATCATTTAGAGAGAAAAACCGTAAGAGAGAGAGAGAGAGAGAGAGAGAGATTGAAGAGATTGTTGCTATTAAGTTAGGGGAGGAGAGGGAGAAGTTGAAGGAGGAGCCAGATAAGAAGTTGGAGGAGGAGAGGGGAGGTGAAGGGAGTAGCGGGAGAAAATCATGTAGGAGGAGAGGGAGAGGTTGTTGTAGACGGCGCGTGAGAGTGTCCAGAAGGTGCAAGATAAGCGAGAGAGGATGAATGAGGAGGAGCTTGAGAAGGTGTCCGAGAAGTGTATCCACGACGTGCTTGAGGTATAAGCTGTTTGTTGTTAATATTATTGTGTATGTATTTTAATTTTGTATTGTATTTATATTGTTTTTATGATGCAGAAAATGAATTTGTTGGGTCTACTCAATCACACAAATTCAAATGAGTTGAAAATTCAAGAGAATGTAATTGTAAATCATTTGTACCTATGTGTCACCTCCCTGAACTCATTTCAAAAGGTCAAATACAATAGTTATTCTCCATTAGAGTTCATGGGCTCAACTACTTGCAAAGACAAAAAATGCAATATTTAATCTTTATTTGAAGTCACAAGTTCAACTCTACACAAAGACAAAAATAATTTAAACACTAAATTTAAAATTTTGTTTTCTTTAAAATCATTAAAAAAACTATTTTAATAATATATTAAAATTGAAATACAAATTATTTTATTGACAATTCATTCTCTTACACGCCACATCTTTAAAATTATGATGTGACACTCTTCAAAATAAATATTTCAAAACTTTTATTATTCATTTTAGAAAAATGTGTAACATTTCATTTATGGATATTTTAAAATTAAAACATTTATATTTTCATATTCTATGAGTCGTCTTCTTTTATTCCTCAAACAAAAACACATCTATATTGTTTATTTTATTTGCTTCTTTATTGCATATATAAAGTTACATACTTATACAAATTGTACATTCAGAGTACATCAAAACAATTGTTATTATAAATTACATACTTGTACAATTAATATAATCAAAACTTAAACTATTAAAATTTTATTCTATTTTCTATAACGTACACTTATTTCAATAAAAAAATTAAAAATAAAATAAAATTTTAAATAATTCGATAAAAAAATTATGAGAACTTATTCAATTCCTAAAAAATATAATATTTATTCTCTATTAAAAGTTATAAGTTCAACTCCTCACAAAGACAAATATATTTGTGAATCTAAACATTGAAACTAAAATTTTATTTTCTTTAAAATCATTAAAAAAACAACTATAATATATTAAAATTGAGCTACAAAATTTGTTGACAACTCATTCTCTTACCTGCAACACCATCAGAAATCTGACGTCAAACACTTCAAAATAAATATTTTCAAAACTTCTATTATTTATTTAAGAAAAATGTGTAACATTTCATTTATATCTGACGTCAAAAACTATATTTTCACATTCTATGAGTCATCTCCTTTTATTCCTCTAACCAAAATTCATCTATATCTTTTGTTTTTTTTTCTTCTCCATTCTGTATATAAAGTATATAAAGTTACGTACTTATACAAATTGTACATCCACAATCCATAATACATCGAGACACATATTATTATAAATTATATACATGTGTAATTAATATATTCAACATACATTAAAATTCAAACTATTAAAATTTTAATTTATTTTCTATTACGTACATTTATTTCAATATAAAAATTTAAATTAATCAATTTTTAAATAATTTAATAACCTATGAGAGTTTATTCAACTCCTAAAAAATAAAATAAATAAAATTTTAAATAATTCAATAAAAAATTTTACGAACTAATTTAATTTCTATAAAAATGAAAATAATTTTTAGTCTTTTAATAAAAGTGATAACATTATCACTACTTAAATCGCTCACAAAAAAGATATAATTGATTATGTAGAAATAATTATAAAAATACAATTTATTACATTCTGACTTAGATAGTCTTTGGTCCCGGTAAATTAGTTTATTTTTGAATTTGGTCCCTAAATCTTTTTTTGTTCAAGTCTCTATATGTCTATTTTTTGTTGGTGTTAATCTAAAATTCGGTTACAAAAACGCCTATGTGATTAACGTATGTGAATTGACATGCTTTTTGTTTTCTTTTTATTTTTTTATATTTCACATAAACTGACTTTTTTGATTTTGGTCCAAAAATTTCTCTCAAGAGAAGTTGAATCCATAACCTTTGCAATAACCAAGTACTCCTTATTCACTACACCAAACTTTCAATTTGATTATTACATTGCATCAATCATATATATTTCATAATTGTTTCAGTATTTAATAAATTAATTAATTAACTTATTTAATAAATACTAATATTTCAGTTAATATAAACTATTTAGTATTATAAAAAAATAAACTATTTAATAAAATATTTACTAAATAGTTAAAATATTTAATAAATTAATTATTTAATAAATTTAATAAATATTAAATATCTCAACTATTAATATTTTAAATAGTAAATATTTTAAAATATCTCAACTATCTCAACTAATTATTAAGTTTTGTTTTGTGATTGGAACTTTTTAAAATATTGTGATGAGTTTTTTTGACTAAATAGTTAAAATAAACTAAACTATTTAGTTTATTAAATATTTAATTTATTAAATATATTTTTTTTAATTATCTTTTGAAACAATGAACCCTATAGAAACCCAGAAACCCACATTCTTCAATGAACTCTGTTAAATCCTTGCTTTCTTATGGAAGATTTCCAAATTTCTTGGGCTTGTTTGGCCCATTCGTTTTGGTTAGACGCCGCTACTGTAGTAACTTAGAACCCAAAAGTAACTAAACCACCTAAGTCCTTCTCTCAAGCCCTCAAGGGGGTCTGTGACATTCCATGTTCACAACTCCCCCAGCAGAACAACACGGCATAAGTTTGGGTGCGATTCTAATTCTATGGTCTTGCACGGGAATATTGGCGTCCAAGGATTCTTTTTGCTATTGCCAGCAGTATCGTTACTCCTCTGTGCTCAGATATTGCATCCATAAAACCAATGATTGATAGAACTTTTGGGCAGTATGTCAGAGTTTTAGTAGATATGGATATCTCAGCTGCAATTCGATACAAGGTTCTTGTTGAAACAAAAGGTTTTGCTTTTTTCTCTTTTATAGAATATGAAAATCTCCCCCACTTTTGTACTCATTGTAAAAAACAAGGGCATTATATAGAGACTTGCAAGTTTAACTCTTCTGTTGTTCCCCCTAAAATAAGCCCGGTAGATGCTAGAAACATTGATCCTAAAGTTGTGCCCCAAAAACTTGTTTCAAATCTGCTAGATGTGCAAGACCTGATAGTGGTTATTCCCCCAACTGTTAAGGGTAAACAAAACATTGAAATTCCAGAATCAAGCAAAGCAAAAGATGACACAGGCAGCCCAGATAAGATCCCTGATAAGCCACCTATGTCCCCTATTCTTTCGCCTATCTGCAATCTGAATGATTTTGGTGTGAGTAATAATACCGAGGTTTTAAGTTCGAATGATACATAAGTTGTGGAAGAATAGTTAAACTTGGAGGTTGTCAGTGTTAACTCTCAGGAAGACCTTAACATCCAAAATAATAAACGGTTTTTGGCTAAGTCCTGGGACAACCTAGAAGAACTTCCTGATGATCATGGGGATGATATAGAGAAGGAAATTGAGGACCCTAAAGCTGATTTTATAAGGTTCCAATTAGATCACTTGAGTTCTCAAAGAAAAAACTTAAAAAGAAAAACAAATTCCGATCAAACTATGTTACCAGATCAAAAGCTGGTGCTCATAAAACTTCCTAATTATGTGCATTTTATGGAATGCAAGGGGCCTTTCTAATGCCCCAACTAGACTTGCTCTAAAGTCTTTCCTAATCTCTCAAAAACATGAATGTTGCTTTCTTTCTGAACCTTGGATGTCGAGTTTAAACTTCCCTCCATCTTTCTTCCATAATTTAGGATACAAGTTTTTTCCCTAAACTCTCGGCCTAACCATCTCCCCAATCTTTGGTGTGTTAGTCTTAATCATTTAAACCCTACTGTTATCTCTTCCTCAGATCAATTCGTGGCTTTCAATTTGGTAGTTGATTCTGTAAACTGTTACTTTGTTGTGGTT